ATACTGTTTATAAACTCAACCAATCGAACAACTACTTTGTTCACATTGCTTTTATTTACTGTTTTATAAATTGTTTACCTAGCTTAACTTTGATTTCTATAGTCTATTGTGTGCTTCTGCTCTTTGTGGATTCGATCCCTAAGTACTACGATTGAAACTCTTATTTGAGAGAGTAATTCACTCCTTAGGGTTAAACATTTGAGTGATATCACCACCGGAATCGGACTCCCAGTCGCTTTCGCCGCCTTAAAAACAACACAAAAACTGTAAATTAAAAAGAAAAACGATCGAATTCGCGATGGTGTTAAAGCATTTCGATGGAATCTAGACTTTACCATTGTCGCTAGAGAGAAAGAGAGATCTTCGTTCTTCTTCTTCTTCGATCTGAGCAACAATTGACTGAGAGTACTCCAGAGCTCCGATCGTTTTCGATCCTAATCTCGTCCTCCATAGCTTCGCTATATCGCCGGTGATAATCAGACGAGATTTGGAGAGAAAAAAATGTGGGTTTGACAATTGAATTGTGGAGGGGTGGAATGGTATTTTGCATATCAAATTTTTAGTGGTAAAATTGATTAACGTAAAACTGAAATAGGGTACTTTGAAAGTGGTAGATTAGGCAAATTCTCTTCTTTTTTGGAGATGCTCTAAGAAAGAATCTTTATTTAAAGATTTTTAAGGATGAATCCTTAACTTTTGTGGGATCCGCTGATTATTTAATTATTCTTTTCTTAAGCCCTCCCCTTAAAGATTACCGTTGCGGGTGCTCTAAGAGCATGATTATCCTTAAAACTCCTAATGGGGGTTTTTAATGATTTTTTAGTAATAAATGTAACCTAAGAACTCTTGTTAAGAAAATTCAATTTTGAGTGGTACAATGGAAGTTTCTTAATTAATTGTTATTAAAAACAAGTTTCGAGCTATAATGTAAAATGAAGAGATGTATCATATGTTTTCAAAACAACATATCTCAATGAAGTATACACAAAGAACTAGATCTTCCCTTGTACAAACGAAGCCTTCCATCTTTATTAACAATACACTTACAGTTAATGGTTTCATTAGGACGAGTATAATATGATACCTAAGAACAGAAACCAGACACAACAAAGCATCTATTACTATAAAGATGCTTTTCTCCCTTCTACCTCTGCCACATTATCAATTAAGAGAAGGAGAAGCTAACACGTGTCATTCTTTCAGAACAAAACTCTTGCTTTCATTTAATTGGTAATGGGCTGTCACGAATATTTGGAGACTTTTAATGACTTGATCTGGGCTAAGAAAATAAAGAAAAACATGGCCCGTTAAGTCTTGGCCCTTTAGTCGCCTCCATCTTTTAGATGAGTATCGCCATTCTATTCTACAGTTCATCTTCTTATCGAAGATCTAATTAGTTCTACCAACAATGGGATTCTTAAAGGTTGTGTATGACGGGTCTTCCTGAGTAATCATACCGTCGATCACGGGTCATGTTGTTTCTTTTACTATTCTTCTCCTCAGAGACGTTACAAGTTGCATTGATTCAACGTATGAATGAACCCTTAACTCTTTCAAACCACTATAACCACAATCATTCATTCAATGAATCATATCTCTCTTCAGAGCGGTGTATCCCCACCTATAAAAAGGTAAGTCGCCATCGTTAGAGCATCATCATCACAATTCCTAACATCAATATAAACTTCTTTTCAGTATAAGTGAAGCAAGAAACATGTAACACTGGGATGTCAAAATTAGGAAAACCGGTGGAGAAGAAGGCGGAGGAAACACTGATATAAGGTTCAAGTATCGGCCGTCGGTTCCAGATGGCTGGATTGTGAGGGCGAGTCGACTCAGATCCAACAAAATCTTCAAAAAAGTAATCGCAGATTCTACTCTTTTACAGTTTTCGGTTTAAAAATTGTCTTTTCATTTGACTTTAATAAATTCATTGTTTTCAAACCATGTCGGAATGTTCAACATATGTGTAGTAATTCTTATTAGTCTAAACAATAGAGTCATCATCGCAACTCTGATGAACGTTATTTAGTTCTCTCTCATATTGCATAGAACTTTTGAATCATGGGAGCTATGTTTGTTGTTCAGAGCTAAATTCTGGTGTGGTTCAACATCGCTGCCAGATTGACTGCTTTTCATGTATTGGTAAAATTCTTCTCAATCAATCTCCAAATGATACATTCTTATACATATAATGATGAATTTCATCGTGTTTAAAAGGTTCAAGCTTTTATGTTGCCAGTCTCTCCCTTCTGATATTTTCTTTGGCTGCCTTTACCAACGAGAAAATGGTAATTCAAGAATGCATATGTGAATCTGTGAGTAGAGTACAATCCATCCATTGCTGGATTAGTTGAATAATTATTCTTTTAGAACTTTCTTTCTGATATTGTTGCAGGTTGTAATCTTTCTTTATATTATCATCACCATGACTGAGGTCATGCATCCAGTTTACGTCAGCAGAAGGTTATAATTAAGCTAGGGATTCCTTCATGCCGGATTCCAGTTCCAACCACCCAGAAACTATTACTGTTTGTTGTCCTATGCATTTGAAGATCAGGTATGAATTTATTACTATAGTTTACAATCTGGGATTTGTTGTTTAGGAGTTCTACTCTATATTGGTGTACGAAATCATCTTTCATTTGCTTATCTCAACGCCATTGGATAGGTTAGTTAGTGTTGATTTTCTCTTCTACATTTGGTGAAGGATGGTGCATGGTTATGCTTACAATATATATGAAAGCTACGAGATTGTTGTAAAGAATGGGCCTCAGCTTCTCTACTTTTGGTGCCAGTACTGTTATTTGTGGTTTATTCTTTCATCTGAATTTATGACAAACGAGTTTTCACTATCTGAATTGGTTTAGGTAGGTATATGATCTTGGACTTGCTAAGTGGCTACTCTTGAGAATATACGAACTATATACTAAATAAACATTTAAATGAAAAAAAAGTCTCACATCATCAACAAATAGACGACGGAAATTACAAACAATGTTGATGAGACCAAAGACAACACCACCAGAGCTGAACAGGTCGACAGGAGCGCAATCTTGGTCGTGCTAACTCAGTGAATGTCCTCGACTTGGCATCAATATCTCTTAGCTAGTTATAGACTCATAGACGACCTCGAAGCGTATACCAAAAACGCAAAGACGACTAGTACCACGTGAACGGAAGATAAACCAAACAAAAATGGTGACTAAACCACATGAACGGAAGATAAACCAAACAAAAATGGTAAACAACAATCAATTGCAAGGATATCTCTTGTTCTACGATAGGATAGCAAATCATTATTAGTTATTTAGTTTTACGAATTAATCGATAGAAAAATTATCAAATTTATTTTTCCAGTTTAGTTTTTCATCCAAGAAACATAATTTGGTGTATAAACATTGATTAATCTGAAGTTATAGTAGAAATTTGTTTTAACATGTTATATATATTTTCTATAATAATATATTAAATAAAGGCTAAATTCTAACCAATAATTGTTTTCTAATAAAATTATAGTAAGCTGTAATTATATATGAGATCATCAATCTTAAAAAAGGTAATTTAAAATTTTAATTAGTAAATTTTACTTTTAAAATCTAATCGGTTATTTGGATAATAGAGTCTCTAAATATAATAATCTATACAATTCAGTACTATATTTGTCTGATTAATAATAATTAATATTATGTTTTCATTGTATTTATGAAACTTAAAATAAATTCCTAACAGTGAATTTATATCTATTTTTAAATTATTTAAAGGCCAATTCTCTAAAAAAAATTTTAGGTCTATTCTAGTCATTTTCTCTTATTAAAATTAGTTATTCCAAAAGAAATAAAATATTAAAAAATTAAAAAGTATTTACATAAGTATAAAATTAATGTTTTGAATGTTAAACCTAACCGAAATAATTAAACAAAAAGAATCGATTCTATTTGCTGTATATATATTAAACTTTTAGTAAACACTTAAAGATAGTAACTAAAAAGTAAAATGTTTCAACATATTTTTCACAACAAATAAAAACAAAGACGCATTACAATTTACACAAACATCAAATATTAAACTAAATAAATATAATAATCCGTGTGAAGCGCGGACCGGTCCTAGTATTTCATATGACATTCCACTGTATAGGTTCGTAAGAAAACAAAACAAGTATCTTCACAGTGTATATTTCCTTCTCCAAGTCAATACAGAATCTATGACTTGGTACAGTCTGAGACTTGATGTAGTTTAAGTAAGAAGTTGGGACTCAATCCATTGCAGTATTAGCTCGCTCATATACCTCTAATGGGTCTGTGTCATCAGGTCCTTCAGTGCAGCAAACTTCAACAAGAACCAACTGATGACAAGCATAGCTTTTTCAATAATAATAATGAAAAGTACAAATCAAAATCTTTATCAAGTGTCATAGGGAAGACTCTCTCTTTCTCTCCTTGTCTACAGATAGAAATGAATGGACCAATACTGGGCCTAGATGTGAAAGAAAGATTGAAGCCCAAGTCAGTCTTTTTATCAAGCTGGATAAGTCACAGAGATAGGATCTTATCTCTTTCTGTCTTCCTCCTCTCTTCTATCGCGCTTCTTCCTCATTTCTGAAGCTAAGCTGATAAGTCTGGTCTTATTAAGAAACAGGCAAGAATGGCTGCGTCGTGCACCACTCACTCTTCTCTCATGATAACATACTCCGCAACGTCCATTCGTTCTCAAGACCTAACGATTCCGTCTCTTGTCTCCTTCGCGAAACTCAGACCCAACAACGTCCCACTCTATCCCCCTCTTCTTCTTCTTCGACCTTTACGACCCGTCGTTGTCTCCGCCGTCACTACCGCAGAGGCTGATGTTGAGGAGGAGAATGAAACCGCCGCCGCCGCCACAGCCACCGCCGTCATCGATCCCCCAAAGGCCAAGAAAGGAAAAGCCGCTTTGCTCCTCAAGAGAGATAGAGTAATTTCTGAATGTTACTTTCTTTTTTGTTTTTGACAATTGTTAAGTGATTATTATTATTTTTTAAATGTCCAACTACTAGACAAGGTCGAAGAGGTTTTTGGAAATACAAAAGCTAAGGGAAACGAAAAAGGAGTACGACGTCAAGACTGCAATCTCTTTGCTCAAACAAACCGCAAACACCAAGTTTGTGGAGTCGGTGGAAGCCCATTTCCGTCTCAACATCGATCCAAAGTACAATGATCAGCAGCTCCGAGCAACCGTCAGCCTTCCTAAAGGCACTGGCCTCACTGTTAAAGTCGCTGTTCTTGCGCAAGGTGAGAAGGTCGACGAGGCTAAAAACGCGGGTGCTGATATTGTCGGCAGTGATGATTTGATCGAACAGATTAAAGGAGGGTTTATGGAGTTTGATAAGTTGATTGCTTCTCCCGATATGATGGTTAAGGTTGCTGGTTTGGGCAAGATTCTTGGCCCAAGGGGACTCATGCCTAATCCCAAGGCTGGTACTGTCACTGCTAACATTCCACAGGTAAATATTAAAAAAAATGCCAAGCACTAAACCTTTAAAAACATTCTTCATAGTTCATATATCTTTCTCTCTTAGGCTATAGAAGAGTTCAAGAAGGGGAAAGTGGAATTTAGAGCTGATAAAACTGGGATTGTTCACATTCCCTTTGGGAAAGTTAATTTTACTGAGGAAGACCTTCTCATTAACTTCCTTGCAGCAGTGGTAAGCCTCTCATATTCTCCCCCCCCCCCCCCCCCCCTTTTTTTTTTAATAGACAAAAAAAAGAGAGAGTAAAATGATGAATTGACAGAAATCGGTGGAAACAAACAAGCCAAAGGGAGCCAAAGGAGTGTACTGGAAGAGCGCACACATTTGCTCGTCAATGGGGCCATCCATCAAGTTAAACATAAGGGAGATGATTGACTTCAAGCCTCCAGCTTCCAACTAACCAACCATTGAACGAAGGTCCCTTTTGGGAACACCCATCTTATCCTTGCACTTGTATCACACCTAACTCTGATGAGAGACCCATTTTGCTGTTTTGTGGTGTTATTTTATTGATTATCTCTCTTAAAAATTGCAAGTCTCTGAGCAGAGTTCTCACTCTCGTGTGTAAGAATGAGTAGTGGCTTCTTATTGGCTGATGCTAGAATACGCTGTTGCTTATGTACTACTAAATCTCTGCTGGAACGTATGCAGTAGAGAACCCAGATATGCTCATGCTAAATGAGTGTACAGAACAAGAAGAATGTTATAAAACAATACTGGAAAATGCTAGGTTTCAGGATATTCTTGTGTCTGATGCACATGCTTAGCCGGTTTGCTGTTCCATGAATTGCAGTGATTCATCCATATATTATTTATCCAATTGTACAGGTTCCCATGGCTGCCAGGACCTGAAACAAGAAATTGTTTCAAAATTTTCTAAATGCGAAAATTCATTGTACTTGATCCTTCATGAACAGCAGCAGTTAGATAAACTCCACTCCACTCCACTCCACTCCACTCCACTCCACTCCACTCCACTCCACTCCTATCCTTTTCCTGTTCTGTACACACTCCCAACATTTATAATTGTGCTCGAGAAGCTGACTTTTTGCAACTCCCCCATCATACATTATATGCACTTCTCCTCGCATCTATTAGATAATTCATGCATGACTGATTATAGTTGTCTATGTTAACAAACATTATATAAATCATAAAGATAACTTTAACAGATTATTTTTTTTGTTGAGACCAGCCAAAATTAGTTCAGACTTGTCTCTACTGCGTGTAATCGGATCTTAATTTGGTTAGTCATTGAGTAATATGGTTTTTAATTTCGATCTTTATAATTTTGGCTGTGGACAACATTCTATTTCAGCTAACCAATCACAAGAAAACTCTTAACCAATGTTTTCTCACTTTGTCTCGTGATATTCAAAATTTCTCAAGTTGTTATATTTGTTAACAAATCCTCAAATATATGTGTATATTTTCTAACCAAAGTATTTATATCAAATCTATATTATAACATTATCGATTTTTATCCCTCTCTCTAAGGGATGCCACATAGGATGACATGTCATCAAGTCCACATAGGAGTGTTTACCTCCACGTCAGAATCGACACGTGTTTTCTATCAACAAAACTCAACGTTTCAGCAAGGCACTTTCTTAAACTCTCCGTTTCGTAGACAGCGAGACCAGTCGCAACTTTTTTAGAGTTTGGTGTTCTTCTTCCACAATGAATTGAAGAGTCTTTTTCTTTCGATCTCAGCAAGGCAGTGTGTATATTCCTCTTAAATGGCTAATCATCAATCCCTTTTCAGAATAGAAGTCAGTCATATGTGTTTTCAATCGTGGAGGTGAGATTGACAGAAACGTCAAACTCGGTGGAAAGACTTTTCGTCACCGGCTGATCCGGAAATAGTGATCTAATCACGAGCATGGATAGATGAGTTTGGGTTTGATCTTGGACTCGACGAAGGATGATGAACCAGATCTATATAAGTACTTACATGTGGAATGACTCGATCAATCTCAGAAATGTGATGTCATTTATTTAGTGATTTCGTAAAATAAATGTGGAAGCGGCGTAGGATATGGTGGTGGTGGTAGCCAACATCATGATGGCTCTGAAACTGATAGGAAGAAGAAACGTTACCATCGTCACACGACTCAACAGATTAAACGACTTGAATCGTAATATCTCTCTCTTTCGCTCTTTGACTTGAATCGATTGATATGGCTAATGGTGAACTATCTCTTTGGAACTTGTGTGGTTAGCTCAGTTTGAATAATGATTACTTGCTGCTGTGTGGATCTTCATTTGATTGGAGGCTTGGTTCCTCTTCTCGGGTTTCTTAAGAACTTTCATGCTAATATCCGAGCCAAAGCTGCTGATGTTGTAAGCACAATAGTTCAGAACAGCTTTGATTCGCCATAACAAACCAGGAGTCGCTGCTTTCAAGCTTGCCAATGGTTATGCTAGCGTAAGAGATGCTTTGGAATCTGATAGTGTGGATGTTCTACACCCTAAAATTCATCCGTTCAGTCTTATCGCTCAAAAGCTTTCCAGAAAATACAGAGACCAAGAATGGCTAACTCCACTGTTTCGTCTAAGAAAAAACATATAGTCTTTATGAATATTAGTCAACAGTTTTTATGTGATTTTCTTGGTACGTGGCTGAGTCTAAATGTGATCATGTTTAATTCAGTAATATGAGTGCGTCCATGTTTAGTTCTTATGTATAGCGATTCACTTAGTATGTGGCTGGATCCTGGAGGTGGATTTATATGATGTGAACCAGAGATGATTAACTCAAGAAGAACCTTCCTCTCTGTCGCTACAAAGCAAGAGTGACAACAAAAACATGAATTCGACTAGTATTTGGTCAATGTGATCAAAACAGATGCGATTAGCACATCAGATATGAATAATCCAAGGTTGATGTAGATATCAGGGCAGCGGAAGAAGAGAACTAACAGTGGAGCAAATAAGTTGTTCAAGAAAGTGAAAGAAAGAGCTAAGAAGATCAAGAACAGTCCTACCAAACTTGGTCATGGTTATTACAACGATCATGATGTGTATGAAGAAGAATGTGGCAAGAAAGAATCAGAGTGGCACGGTGAGCTAGATTTGTAATTTACCTTTGAAAAAGATTTGCGCATTATGTTTTTGTGACATTAATGGGTTATCTGTTTTATGTCGGAATGGCATAGTGTATACTCACTGCAGTGTAACTGTTCAACCTGAGTCACTGTGTCATCCCGGGGAAGCTAATTTTCAGGTACTGCTGAAGATTTCCACCAAAGAACAAAAAGATTTCCCATTGGTGACTTCGGATTATACCAAACGTCAGGAACCTAGCCACTACGAGATACTTTTTATGGACACGAGAGGATAGATACTTTGGATAGGGACGTGAGAAGAGAGGCACCGTCTCATCCTCCCAAACTGCACGACATGTCGGAGGGAGAATAGAGGATCGAGGCTCATTAGATGGCAATAAAATACGCATGAGGCTTTGTTATCGAAACAAAGATGTGATGAGGATGTGATATTCTTTTAATCTCTTGGTGGATGTTGCAGGCTGAAAGTGTTCGTATTTCCTTAAAATGTTCTCATGTACAACATAAAGAATATATACACAAGTTAGGTACAAGATTTCAGGGATACTCACTTACTCTACACTAACTATTCTAACAAAGAATGAAATATTCTTTTGTATCTTTGACAGGCAAACCTTTGTCAAAAGTATAAAACTGTGTGAATTGGCTTGAAGAGGCTGAGGAATAAAAAATTAAGACGTTTCTTCATTTTGCTCTGTAACTAAGTTTTTTTTTTTTTTGAAACATATAAAATTTTAGAATGTATAGATGTCATCTAACTCTTTTGATAAAGAGAAAAGATGTCTTCTAACTATTTTGCTTTCTGATATTCTTTTGCTGCATTCGACCTTTTAGTGTATTTTGGCAATAAGTTTATTGTATATGACTGGAAAGTACCTTAAGCTATGACGAGATGNAAAAAAAAAAAAAAAAAAAAAAATACATCAACGTAGTCAGAAGATGAGGAAGGAAAAAAGAAAGATAAATGTTCTAATATTCTTAAAAATTAAAAATTATATGGTTTTGAAGCCAAAATAAAATTTAAACGGATTTTTCAATTTTTTAGAAAAATAAATAAACTTAAATAAGTAAGATATATTTAAAAATAAATAACTTATTTTGAGCAGTAAAAGATTAAGATGTGGTATACCCAAAATATATATTTTAAAAAATTCACTTTTAAAAAAATTGTCTAATGATTTATATTTTAATAATAAATGTTAATATATACATAATATTGAAATAAATTAAAATGATAAAGTTTCGAATAAATAATATAGAAATATTTTAAACGGTGACGGTATGTGAATATGGTTTAGTATATAAACCGATCAAACCGACTCTAACTTACATAAACCAATTTATTAAATATAGTAGTATAACAACATGTAAATTATATAATATAATTAATGATATATATATAATTTTTTAATATGATCTTCATATTTAAAATGTTGATTTACGCAATTTTATATTTTGTTTTAAGTTCAAAATTCTTTTTTCGCTTTTATAAGTAAAACATTTTTTTGGTGAGAAATATTTGTGCTAATATTTATTTATTTAATAATATTATGAACTTATTAATTATTAATTCATGAACTTTATTATTGTAGAACATGTTTTATGTTTTCTACATACAATAATCTTATTTTAAAATTATAGAGATACATACAATAATCTTATTTTCCAGTACAAGAAGCTTCAAACAAGATTCACAAATCCAGTTAATAACTCCTTACAAAAAAGTTGAACCCAACACTTTTAACAAATCTAGAGTAATACATCCGATCATTAGAAGAACTTTTATAAGGTCTAACCAATTATACTCCCTTCAAACCATCAATTTTTAAAATATACAATACACATCTTTCATAAATGCAAACTTAAACCACAAACCAAAAATCATATAAAAATAATAATTTAGATTATAAAATTAAGTATATATCGCCTGCGGAACGGACCGACCCTAGTGTATATCAGTATATCTATATATATGTAATCAGACATATCAGACTTTTCACATTCACAAATAAACTCACGATACCCCTTATTTAAATAACTCCCTTTAGAAACATCACATTACTCAAAGACGTTAAACCATTCAAAACAGGATGTTGAATTCACGCTTATGTTATTCACTTGTGAAATCAATATTCCACTGTGGGTGGGAAATCTCTTGAGCTTATTCTTACAGACAAAACAGTTAGTAGATTTTAAGAAATCATTTTCTTATATATTTGCCTCTTTATACTGTTTTTTTTAATACTAATCGTTTTTAGTTTATTTTTCTTAAGGAACAAAGAAAATGTACGTTCCACAAGTTCAAACTCATCGAAACAAAAAAATAAAAACCAGAAAACATAGCTACCCAACCAGGGCCGGCTTACAAGGGGGACAAACGGTGCGACCGCCCGGGTCCATACCTGTGTCTCCCCGATTTTACTAATTAAGGGGCCCAATATTTTTTATATATACATATTTTTCTATATAAAATTTTAAATATTAATAAATTTTAGTTGAATAGGGACCCTAAAATATTTTACATATATATAATTTATTTTCATAACAAAATTTTTAAAGATATTGATGTTAAAAATTTAAAAAAATATTTAATTTTTTGAAAATATAAACAATAAAAGTCAAAAAAATTTTTTGCTCAGGGGCTCAAACAAATGTTGAGCCGGCCCTGTACCCAACTAAGAACTAATATCGAAAAGTCTATATCCATATTCAAAACCTAGCACTCAAACTTAACTCAAAATTTTATAAAGTTCATAACATTGTTATTTGAACCAAACAATAACAAAACTCAAACGAAATTTAAATTTATAAATAATCAAACTATTACTGTATTTCTTGAAGCGAAAAGCAAAACCCACAATCAAACCGGAAACATAACGAAACTAAAACATACAATCTACAGTAAAACCTCTATAAATTAATAATGGTGGGACTTTGAATTTTATTAATTTATAGAGATATTAATTTACGAAAGTTTCCTTATTTAGATTTTTTTTTTTTTCCATTTTTATTTATAAAATAGAAAAATATTTGATTTTAGCATATGTACATTATTTAAATTGTTTTATTATATTATATGGTGTATATTTTTATGTTTCATAGAATTATTACATGGTTTTCTGTATAATTTAACTAAATATTATATAAATATATTGAAATGTTTAAAAAATAAAAGTATTTTTATAGTAAATATAAAACACCTAACTAAATATTATCAAAATATATTGAATTTTTTTCAAAAAATAAAAGTATTTTTTATAGTAAATATAAAACCAACAATATAATATTAGATTGTACTTATATAAAATTATATATAGCTAGATTATTAATTTATGATTTTAGTGGGACCATATATTTATATGGCAGTTTTAAAATATTATTATCTTATTATTTTATCGATTTGTGTCATATTTTACACTGGCCCAAGTTGGGACCGGTGAAATTTATTAATTTACAGAGATTATTAATTTATCGAGTGTTAATTTATAGAGGTTCTACTATAGATGTGAACGGCAGTTTATAAAAATCATCAAATATTAAATTTTAATTTAAAAACATAAATTATAAATAAAATTTATATATAATCCTGCTCGGGGGGATCTTAAATATTTCTCAGAGACTGAGAACAATGACAACCAATAAAAACATGTAATCAACAACAACCAAAAATAACACTTTGTTTCTTTTTTTTTTTTCATCTTGGTGATGCTTCACTTCCATCTTGCTTTATCACAGAACATAGAACTTGTCTTGAGATATAACTTTCGAGCTCCTTGGATACTTCAGTTAGCTTCAAGTCAAAGTTACTCCTGTATTTTTGTTTGGGAGATGGCACAGTGGTAGAAGAAGAAGAAGAGCCTGAGAACCTTCTTCGTGGGCTAGAGAACTTCCCTGGTGAGACATGAAGTTTAACTGCTGCAGGTATTGAAGGTTGTTGTAACACAGTGTTGTTATTGTCTGAATCTAACATAAGTCCAAACTTCGTCTCTAATGGAAGTGGCTTAAGTGAATCTTCTCCAGACTCGGAAACCGGTTTAGTCTTCCTCAGTCTCTCCCTTGCTTTCTCAGCTGCTTGTAGCGCCTTTTCACTGCTTAGAGTGATCAGTTTCCATGGGTTTATGGTTACATGAAAGCCCGGTTTCTTGTTGGTCAGCGTGGAAGAAGGTGAACCTTCTATTTTTATGGATAGTCTCTTCTGATGATTCTGCCAATTAACAGCATATAATAAATAATAGTGGCAACAAGAGAAGCACAAAAGAGTTATGATCTCTTGGTTTATTATATTCACCTCATTAGTTTTCCTGCACATGAACTTGGAGATTAATGTTTGTCTTGGTCTCTCAGGTGAATCAAAATCAGAGCTTTCATCTGAAGATGAATCCAATTCATCAAAAGGGTCCACTTCTGTAAATTGATTCTCCTCCCTCATTGCTAATATATAGTCATATGTTCTCATCCCCTGGCAGCACTAAAATGTCAAAAGAAAACTACAAACAGGATCATTCTGTTCTGTTAGGAAACTAACTGTAAGAGTTACCTTTCTTATGAGAACCACATGGAAGAGGAAAAGCTGCCCCATAGCTGCCGAGCCATAGGCCGTTAACAAAACCAACATAACCTTATAGAAAGAAAAAAACTTGATAAGCATATAAAGAAAGCTGCATTAGCTTTAGTGAGAAAGAAACACATGTATGTATAAGAAGAAACTATACAGATATTGTAGCCAGAAGCCATCTAGGGAAGTCTACATGAAGCCTTCTCTTCAATTCGGTTTCGATCCCTTTCTTGTCCACAAAACATCTAACAAATACAGCAACAGCTGTTCCACCTTCAATCATTAGCTGTTGCAACCAAAAAGCCAGTCAATATCATAAACTTTAAGTAGTTGAGAGAGAGAGAGAGAGAGAGAGAGAGAGAGAGAGAGAGAGAGAGAGAGAAAGAGGCAACACACACACCATGAGCAAGACGAAAACCATCAGGAGTATGAAAGTGGTGTAATTCCTTTTCCCAACACAGTTGTTAAGCCACTAATTACACAAAAGAAAACTTTAATATATATATATCAGTTGTCCAAGACAGAACAAGAGTTTCAGAAACTGTATAAAAAACATACACTGCAATGGTGATCAAACCCTTCAACACAACGGTTACATGTCCTGCAGTGCTTACTGCTGCGTTTAACCTTAAAGAACACACAAAGGACAATCAATATAATAAGCCTTCACATACATAATATCAATAATGTTACCTCTAAATCACAAAGTGAGCAATAAGA